GACTTAAATATGCCATTGGAACTTTGTCTTTAAAACGGGGATCGGGTAAAAAAAAAACGATTCTGAAAATACAACACTTAGTATAGTTATTTAATGTGTATGTGTTGGCAAGGCGGTACAACAAAAGCGCTAAAGAGGAATAGGAGAAAAAAAACATTCAATTACCAATTTTCCTTCTAGCTTCTGTACTTTGAATATCACCATCTAAAAAATTCGTAAGTTCTTCGACGTTGAAAGTACAATTTTGGCGTTCTCTTTTCAAATCCTCGTTAATTGTAATTTTCATTTTTATTAAATAAAAATACTAACGAACAATAGTGAAGTATCTATGCTAAACAATAATTGAACCATTAAGTAGGTGAGTAGTATAGTGAGTAGGTGTATCAAGGACAATAACTAAACTATTTTAATAACATTCAAACACACTTCTATACTTAATTAAAGCAAAATAATAAAAAATCCGCTGGTCTTATTTAGTAAAATAAAAACATGGTTTGGAATTTTCGTGTGAATTTTTTATTGCTGCGTAGGTTAAGTTCAATATCTGTTGACCTGTTGACCTGTTTAACCTGTTGACTGTTGATTTACTCACACATAGCAACCTAGAAACTGACTACGGCCAAAGTGTAAATTTACCCTATTTTGCGGGTTTTTCCTTAATAAAAAAAATTTGACAACAGATTTTTGAGAAAATTGTATATGTTATAGTTTCATTTTAGATCTACCTTCGGTCTAATTTTCACATCTAAACCTCTAAAACTTTGCTTGAAAAAGAGAAATAAAGAAAAAAATTCTATCCCTTCTAGAGGAAAGGGTTTATAATATTTTTGCTTGTTTGTTAATGTCTATCGATAGTACTATGTTTGAAGAATAATTCACATAAATTTGGAACATTTTCGACTATTTTTAAAAAAATTTTAGAGCATTGTAATTTTAAGTTGAAAAATTTGTAAATTTTTGGGTGTTTTCTTTGATACAAATAAAATAAAAACACATCATTGTAAAAACAATACCATCTCAGCTCCGCACCGAATCTAAAATTACAAATTTATTCGCATGCGGCATTCTTTACTTGGCCTAAGTCGCTGTCAAAAGCCAGTCGTCAGTTTCAATGTACCAGTGGCGTGAGATACCATTATTGTGAATCAATTTATTTGACGTCATAAGGTATTTATGTGTCCAAATTACTAACGTAGGTTAAGTTCACAATATCTAAGCGTTATTGTTATATGTTATAATAGTAGCTATCCTATTTATTATTCCGGCTTCATTTATTTGATTTTACATTTACACCTTAATATTATTCCTGTTTGGTTATCTCCTATAAAACAATTGTTAAGATTACTAAATGAAACAATAATATAGTTACCAATGGATTACATGTGAATTCATCAAATCAATTACAATTATTTTTTATAAATGCACTGTGCAATAATATCGTTATTTCTCGATTTTGAAATCTAAAAAATAATGAATATTCTTAAAGGGATAATACTTGAAATTGTAATCAATGTGTTGCAGTCATTAGTATTAAACATAATAATTAATAATATATAGATATTATTATAATATATATTTCCACTTTTTGTTCCGAAAAAAAGGTTAATAGTATATATTTATTTTTAACCGTACTTGGATATGAATATTTACTTTGGGAGAATCAAACAAATATCTATATATACTTTCATTGATCTATAATAAAATCAGCTAATTTTTGGATTAATAAAAATGTTTTAAACATAACTGTACTGATCGATGGCTTGCATACATATTACTAATTTGGCTACAGACATTTCCATCATATAATAGCCTAAAGCAGAATTTAATACTTCATCGTCGAACAAATCTACAAAATCAACTGTACATGTGGTCTTGTGAGTTTCAAGCGTATTTCCGTCAAACTATTGAAATCAAAGGAACGTCGCTGGCATTTAAGTTTGAATACAGCCGCGGTCGTAAATTTAAGTAGTTTAATCTATCTTTATGATTATTGTAAAAGATTTACGCTTGTCGTAGTCAAAAGTTATAGCAACTTGAACTTTTAACTTTTCCACGTATATATCAGGAGCTAGCGGTCGGCTACCCGATTAAAAATAATTGGCAATAATAATACATTTAATAATTTGAATGATTTTAACATTTATATCGAATCTACTGGCATGAACACATAAGGGACAGTCTAGGAGTTGCATCAACTGTGGAGAAAATGAGAGAGAGTGGGTTGAGATGGCTCGGTCATGTTATGAGAAGTGATGAGACAGAGGCAGTGAGAGGTGTTATGAAGATGAATATAGAGGGAAAAAGAGGAATAGGAAGACCAAATAAAAGATGGATGGACGGAATACAGAGTGTAATGATGATAGTGGGGGTGATTGAACGAGATGTAGAAGACCGAGCTCTATGGAGGTGTAGGACTAGGGTGGCCGACCCAATGTAGTTGGGAGCGGAAGGCGATAAAGAAGATATACAATCCACTGGCAACATTTTCATTTTTAGACTACACATTGTGTCAACTATATAGTGTGAACATTAATTTTCCTATATTCTTGTGAGATTGTATATTATAGAACATTGTTAAACAACAGTATTAGTTCATCAATTGAGACCGTCGTTGATGGGTATTGGCAATCAGATTATATCAAAAACAAAATATTGTCCTTACACCTATTAGTATCTATTTAGAGTGTCCCATAAAAGTATGACAAATTAAATAATTTTTGTTCTAGTATATATTTTTAAGATTAAAAAAAAAATTAATTTATACTCATCTGCACTATAATTACCTCGTTTTTTTTTAATATAATTGACTTTCTATATGCATTAAATTTTGTCAAAATGTAATATTTTTGTGAAGATACTTAATACGTTATGGAAAACGTTAAGGAAACACCGTTTTTGCAGCTTCGTGAGCGGCTATTTCAAAATCGATATGCATTTTTTTATACTTAGTATTTCAGATGAATTTTTTGAGCATAATTTAATTAAATATGTCCACATTTGGATATGCTTTTTTGCGTTTATCACTTAAAAAAAAGCCAAAACAAAATAATAACGGTTTTTTAATCCGCGTATCGTATAAAGCTGAATAAAGTATTTGGGTGCGTATTCAAATGTGCCATCTACAAATATGGCTTCACACTGTACCAATATATTAATATTTTTCTTCATTGTATTGAAAATAAAATGTAAATAGTACATTTTGCCCATTTTCATCATGTTTAATAGTTTGACGGAAATATGCTTGAAACTCAAAAGACCTTGTAGTAAAGACATGTAGTTTATTTTGTAGACTTCTTCGACGATGAAGTATTAAATTCTGCTTTAGGCTCATATATGATGGAAATGTCTGTAACCGGCTGTTACAAGAACCTATCAAAGTCTTTAAATAAAAATCTTGTCGACAAATCATTCCAGTTGTATTTGATATAATTTTTAAAATACAACGTGTGAATTTATTAAAAACTATAGTCAATAATTCGTATTAGAAATATCGAAACTCTGCAATTATTTTAAATGTTGATAATATATACAATAATAACTGCAATTGGATACTGTGTCATCTTGTACGTTGTATACAAATATATAAATATTATTATTGATGTACGATTTAAATAGACGAACACTATTTAAAACCAATTACTGGGCTAATGAGAAGTATTAAAATAAATTTAAAAAAAATAGTTATAAATAAAATATAATGTTAAGTGGGCGTCGCACCGCCCATTTTTAAGAAGTAAAGTATAGGCAATTTTTTACAAAATCTTAATTTAAAGGTTAAACTGTGATGTGTAATTATTAGTTCAATAACTAAGACTCTATTTTGGTTGTTAATTTATTTTTTCGACTATCACAGCATCCTTAAGAGCGATTTAAAAATGTTTTTTCATCTCTACATGTTTAAGCAGACTGAAAATAACTCGCTTAATTTTGGTTTTAGAGTAAAAGTGCCCATTATAAAATTAAATGAAAACAATATTCCGGAGGGCAAGACGGTGCGTTTTTTCATTATTCTAAGTATAACGCTCAATACATAGTTTAGAAATAACGACTATTTTAACATTTTTAAATGACTGTAACTTTCCAAAAAATTATTTTTTTTTAAAAAACCCACCGTCTTGCCCTCCGGAATATTGTTTTCTTTTAATTTTATAATGAATGTTTTTACTCTAAAACCAAAATCAAGTGAGTTATTTTCAGTCTGCTTAAATATGTTTTTACCACTGAAAATCACTGGTGCGACGCCCTCTTAATACGTTTTCAATAAATATAATATTTTTATTTTTAGTCTAATATAAATCAATATAAATGAAGAACCCTAAGTAGTAATTTGTATGCAAGCTATCGATCAGTACAGTTTATGTTTAAAACATTTTTATTAATCCAAAAATTAGCTGATTTTATTATAGATCAATGAAAGTATGTATAGATATTTTTTCGATTCTCACAAAGTATGTATTCATATCCAAATACCGTTAAAAATAAAAATATTAGTAATTATATTATTCATACATATTTTATTATGTTATTAAAAAGACATTTTTATTTAAAAACGTGGTCTTAGGCTTCTTGTACTAATATCTGATATTCCGACTACTAGTAGTTGAAAGTATTATTTCAACGCGATAAACGTTTCAAAGAGTCCAACACCAAATGCGCCATTGTGGATTTAATTACATTATAATACCACAGATAAGATAAAACAGTGATAATATTATGTTTACAACAACAAATACAAGTTAGATTTTAAATAGTGATGATAAGTAATAAAAAAAAAAGATATAAATTCTGCAGATTTACATATAATGAGACCAGACATTATCGCTATTTTATTTGTTATATATATATATATATATATATATATACGATTACGATTACAGTGTAATTTCCATAAACAATGTCTAATGTATAATTTATAAATTAGTAGCAGCACTGAGTATTGTGGTTTAATTGAAAGTGAATAAATTAAATCCTTCAATTATTTGTCTATACAGTGTACTGTGTGCATTCGCCTCTAGTACAATATTTTTAATTAATGAATTCATAAAGTCCTGTCATTTGTTGTGTGTTGGCGTCATGTAGAATATTAACGTGCAACGTTTTTCTATACTTCGTAAAAATACTTCTTCGCATATAAGCAACATCACGCAATTTAAATTTTAGCAATTTTTGACTAGTTTTTAATTATTTCATAATTAAAATGTCTATAAAAATTATTGCATAATATTATAATTCCCATCACTCAATTTCACATAGTACTAACTCCTACTCACCTAATCAAACGTTAGTCTGGCCGTTGTTCTCAACCTTTCGCCACGTATTCCATAATTGTATTGTTAAGAATATCAGAATAGAAACTTATATTATTTTTTTTCATTAAGTTGACAAATTTTTAGGACTGCGAATTTCATTGTTATCGTGAACGCATTTTTCAATCATTGATATTTTATTTTGGCTACAAAGGGAGTCAATAATAAAAACTATATTTATTTATTAATTTGGTAATTTTTTTTGTATTAAGTGTAGAGCTCTGTTTGAATGTTGTTATAATATTTTAGTTATTGTCCGTGATACACCGACTCACTATACTACTCACCTACTTACTGGTTCAATTATTGTTTAGCATAGATACTTCACGCTTGTTCGGTAGTATTTTTATTTAATAAAAATGAAAATTACAATTAACGAGGATTTGAAAAGAGAACGCCAAAATTGTACATTCAACGTCGAAGAACTCACGAACTTCTTAGATGGCGGTATTCAAAGTACAGTAGCTAGAAAGAAAATGGGTATGTGTATTTTTTTCTTCTATTCCACTTAAATGCTTTTGTTGTACCGCTCTGCCAACATATCTCATATACATTGAATAATCATACCGAGTGTTGTATTTTCAGAATCGTTTTTTTTATCCGATCCCCGTTTTAAAGACGAAGTTCCAATGGAATATTTAAGTCACAAAGAACGTTATGAACACGCTGTAAGGAAGAGCTGTGTTTTATTAAAAAAAATTGCGGAATGGCAACAACGAGATGACGGCAGTGGCGGGTCCACGGATCCTTACCTGTAAGTATATGGAAAATTATAGGAATTTTGTAATCAGTGACATTTGAAATTGTGTTTCTTGCAGAGAACTCCTGAGTGGTTTAATCGCTAACGCTATCATTAAGGATGGTTCACCTTTTACATTACATTTTATTATGTTCGTTCCCACAATTATGGGACAAGGCACTATGGAACAACAAGACATGTGGCTCGGTGGCAATCAGATAGTTGGAACATATGCTCAGGTAATAAAATATGTAATAATATGGTAATATCATACCTCATAATACTTCAAAAAGATCAAGACATATTATAAATTAAATATTTTTTTTCTGTAACATTTGGATGTATTGTTTACACTGTACCTATACAATATCTATTGAAATACTAGTATTCGATTCGATTGCGATACCAATTAAGAAATTTATATTACTTTTGAATTTTAGTTGGACGGTATATAGTTATGTACTTAATATATGACATATTGTAATGAATTTATTTGCATAAGACTATTAATTATGAGTTTCTTTACTGTTAATGAAGGTTATTATATTATTATTATATTATTCTTTCAACGTAGTAAATAACTGATTAAAATCCGGTATATTCTCATTTAATTTTAATAGAACAACATGTATTTAAGAAAAAAACATTAAGGTTTTTTTTTAATGTAAATTTGGTAAAACTCATTATTAACTGTAGTTGATGTGCATGTAAGAGTAAAGAGTGTTTCGAACAAATTTTCAATGCACTTAAAAAGCATAAATAATATAAAGTATCTTTTTGATGTTAAATATCCCTAATTATATCGTACTTGTTTGTTAAAAGAAAAAAATCACTTTTCGGTTCTACATCAAATTTTAATTTGTACGTTAATGTAGGTGTTATTTTAAAGTTGATTAGCTATACAGTTTTCGTAAGAATTAAATAATACAAGCTTAATTATAAGCCTAACATTTTTAAAAATAATTGTGGTGCACTTTACTCTGCCACACTGTGCCCCCGTTTAGAACTTTTAGTTTATTAGTTTTTTTTTATGTGAGGGTTATACTAAAATTTATAAAAAATTGTTGACTAGTTTAAAACTTTAGAGGCAAAATCCACTATGTGTGGACAAGATAATGCAAACATTAACGAAATGTGACAAACCGTTTGTTTCTCTCTCTTTCATTAGATCTAATAGATATAGATTATCTATATACAGTCTACGGTATTTTCTGCATAGATTTTATCCCCTGTAAAATGTGGCTATATATAAATAATATAATATAATTGTTTTATGTAATGCAAACATTAACACCATTATACCATTTTATGGTATGAACAACAACCATATTCATTTTTATATCTTGTTCTTTAGACCGAAATGGGCCACGGAACTTTCATTCGAGGTTTAGAAACCACCTGTATTTACGATCCATTAACTGAAGAATTTGTGTTAAATAGTCCCACATTAACGTCGTATAAATGGTGGCCTGGTGGACGTAAGTTTATCATTCTATAATCAGGACAGCAATTTTGCTAAAAAAAGCGGCGGGGGTCGTAAACCCTGAAAAAATTAGAAAATCCTCTCTAAATTATGAAAAAACATTTTTTTTTGCGGGGGGGGGGGAGGTGCTTAAAACTATGGGTGCTAAGCTTCCAAAAGTTTTCCCCAATTTTCGCCCATGTTTATAATTAAGTATATTTGTATAGATTTAAAAGTAATATTGTTTAACTTAAAATCTAAAACTCCTTACATTCTCAAAGAAACTAAGAAAATATGTATATTTTATTTTTAGTCGGACATACCTGTAACTTTGCAGTAGTTGTAGCTCAGTTATATACTCAAGGAAAATGTCATGGTATACACCCTTTTGTTGTTCAGCTCAGAGACAAAGAAACATGGATGCCACTGCCTGGTATTACAAATATAATAGTTTGTCATTTATCAATGGGATAAAGATATGTTTTCTGTATTATTTACCTTAGGAATAAAAATTGGCGAAATCGGAAGCAAACTTGGAATGAGCTCAATCAATAATGGATACTTGGCATTTGATAATGTCAGAATACCAAGAATGAATATGCTTATGAAAAATGCTAAAGTCCTAAAGGTACGTTTATATTTTTATTAAAAAATAATAAAATTGCACTATTATTATCATTAAAAAAAAACTGTTATTAAAAATCTTATACCAACAATTTTAACACATCTATTTTTTTTTTTTATCGTAGGATGGTACTTATCAAAAGTCTTTAAGTGACAAGCTGACTTATGGCACAATGATATTTGTACGTGTAGCTATTGTAAAAAGCTTTGTAGTAAACTATTTAGCACAAGCTGCTACTATAGCCACTAGATACAGTGCTGTAAGACGACAGTCAGAGCGTAAGGAAGGGTAACTATATGATATTAAGAACTAGATATATTTGATTTCATGGCATTTATTAGGTTACACCAAGATTGTTTTTTTTTTTTAGTGAAGGTGAATGTCAAATATTAGATTATCAGACACAACAGTATAAATTATTTCCAGTCATAGCTACTAGCATAGCATTTCGATTTGCGGCCACGTGGCTACGGAATGTTTATGACGAGGTCACTTCTCGGCTAGAACAAGGTGACACGAAACGATTACCCGAGGTAAAGTTGAGCGCTTAAAAAATATGTATTGTCAGTACTCCACTGTATTGGCTTTTTAATGTTGCTCAGCCAAAAAGAACTAATAAATAGGATGACTTAAAATAGATATCCATAATAATATTGTCGTGAATTGATAATATATTTTTAAAATTTAACGTGTTCCGCATCGAAGCTAAAATGTAATTAATTAATTTCTTACATTGATTAAATTGGCAATTTTTTTTAGTTGCACGCAATGGCTTGCTGTTTAAAAGCTGTTGGTTCAGCCGAAGCAGCTGTTGGTGTCACTTCTTGTCGTTTAGCGTGCGGTGGTCATGGCTATATGAACAGTAGTAACTTTCCAAATATTTATGCTTTGGCTACTGCCTCAGAAACCTACGAAGGAGAGAATACGGTTTTACTGTTACAAACTGCAAGGTGAATATTACAGATGTAATAAATTGTTTGGAAAATGTAACAAATAAGTCGTATATATATATTTTTTATTTCAAAAGATATTTGATGAAAGCTTTTCGAGATGCCAAGTCTGGCGTGGAAATAACCGAAACGGTGAAGTATTTAAATAATTTTAAAAACCTCAAACGTTTAAATTGGACAACCGATTTGAAATGTATGGCAGACGCTTTCACGCAAGTAGCTGGAAGGTAATTTCACTATATTTTAATGAACAATTTTGACCTATAAAATATGTATACCTAATAAGCAAATGTTTCTTTTATTAGTTTAATAGAAAAATGTTATTTATCAATCAATTCATTAGTAAAGTCGGGAGTTCCTCGTGAAGATGCTTGGAATCAGACATCTATTCAACTTACAAGAGCTTCTGACGTTAGTTATTTTAGACGTACCTAACGTATTACCTATTTGCAAAAAAAAAAAATAATATGATTTAATTTTACAGGCACACTGTCGAGCTTTTGTGATTAATGTATTTATAGCTACTCTTCACAAAGTTCAACTCTCTCCAGAATTGAAGTTGGTAATAACACAACTGGCAGAACTGATTTGTGTGCATTGGATTTTATTGAAATTGGGCGATTTTTTGCAGGTACTTTTCAATTTTCTTTGAACGTTGTTTTTTGTATACAGTTATATTAGAAAAAATATTATTCATTGTTTAGTTTTCAAATTTAAAACCAAGTGACGTACGTTCAGTACAAACGTTATTAGAAGACAGTTTAAAACGTCTCAGGCCGAATGCAGTTGGCTTGGTAGATAGTTTCGATATGAGAGATGAAATTTTGAGTTCGCCGTTGGGAGCTTATGATGGCAATGTTTACGAACGACTTATTGAAGAAGCCAATAAAAGTCCGTTGAATAAAGAACCTGTCAATGAATCATTTCATAAATATTTAAAACCGTTATTACAATCAAATTTGTAAATCATAATAGGTTTAAGGACTTGAATAGTAGTTAATTGTGTTAAATATTATTGTTATATGTTGGATATTTGAAAGTGGTTTGGTACTAATATATTATACTTCATGGAGTTTGTTTTTTTTAATACTTAATTAATTTATAAATTATAATTATATCTTTATTATTTTTACCAAATGGCTTAATATATAAAGCGATTATATTTTTGTATTATTTCACATACATACTAAATGATTTTATGTGTGTATCTAGTTTTTAGTAAACTATATCTTATTTTTTATTTAAAATTTTTTTTCCTATAATTTTATAACATATAATTAGAAGAAACAATTGCACACAGGTACTGTATTACTGTGTATTTATTACATTTTTAAATCTAGCTTTTAGCTATTATATTTTATCTTGAATTGTAATAGCTGATAACCATGTTGAACTTATGTAGTAGGAAAAACTACATTTTATGTTTAATTTACCCATATTTACCATAATATGTATATTATTTAAATTTAAACGCCATTATACAGGTTGACCCAACTGATGTAAGACAGTAATTTTCATTAAAAACATGAATATTTTGTGAATTATTTATTTCCCATTCTTTTGGTACTTTTTTTACTACATTTTTGAATATTTCGGAAATTGTTAACTTTAACCCTTATACGTAAGACGGATATGAAATTTGGTTTTTTTTTTAAACGGGAGTGTTTTTTTTTTTAATTTCTGAAATAGTTAAACAAATTTTTTTTAAATAAATGTTAGCATTTCAATATTTAATTTTCATCAATCTATTTGTTTTGCTAAGAATTAAAGATGATGATCATTTTTTTCTACACTGTTGTCAATAAAAAAATATTTAAAACACCCTTAACCATTAAATAATAATACTCTCTGCGTATACATATTTCGGCAACCATGTTGTCATCTTCAGTATACTTGTCTATGATCTTTAGCGCTAACGACGGTCTGAGACCAATTACGGGCGGACGTTTTTTTTATAATTCTTTAGGTACAACTGGAGATAACAAGCAATTTTGGAATTGCTGCATTATATTCTAAGTTTTAGTAGTATACTTTATGTATACATGAAAACGATTTTAGAAATAAAATATTTTAAAACGTGTAGACGCAAAAAAATATTATAAAATATTTAAATAAACCATTAACCGCAATATTTTATGGTTAATGGTTTAAAACTAGGTTATTATCTATTAAATATCTATACATTTTTTTAGGGATTCTTAACCAGACTAGAATAAACCTAACCTAACACCTTTAAAAACCAGTTTGGAAACCAGAATAAAAATGAAAAAACTATTCGGTTGCAAAGCCTTGATTATTAGTGCGTTTAAAAATCCTTCATAAAACAATAGGACAATAGGAGACTTGTAGCAATATTTGTAAGAACCTAAAAAGGTCACAAACTATACTTTTGTATGCTTCCACCATTTGTTATACTACAAACATCTACAATTTTTTTAAAAATTTGGAATACAACATGGATAAATAACTTATAAAACGATCACCAATTATTCTATTAGCTAACTAAATAATTTCCGTGTAACCATAGTAGAAATAATAATAATATGTACTATAAACTAATTTATATTGACTAAAACTGAATCACCACTAGTTACTAATCGACTGCTAATTTCCTAAATGAACCTCCAATAATTGTTTTTTCCAAATTATCCAAGTTATTAGTGGAATTCTTTGGGCGTTTACTGTTATCTGCAACAATTGATGTTTGAATAAGAAACCATTCTCGGTGTTTCATCACTTCGTGATTCCAGTCAACTGCAATTCAAATATTCTTTTATAACACAAATCAGATTTATAAGCCTAGAACGACGTTGGTTTATGTCGAATAATAATAATTTGTACAGCATGTATAATTATTATTCGATAACTTTGTAATAAGAATGCTATATCGTTACGAGATTAAGATATGTTTAAATGCAAAAAAAAACATGATTTTTACCCTTAACTTGGCGATGTATCTATATAAAGATACCCAAAATTGAAATAAATATGCCAGTTTAAACATACATGGAATATTTTTTTGGAGAGACCATTACGGTTATTGATATCATATATTATATTTGTAATATCTTTTCTAAAACCATGTTATCAGCTATCATTTCAATTTTTTTTTTTTTTTTGGACGGACTTTTAACACATTTTTTTACATTTTAAAACCTAAATATATTTAATTCCGCTCTTAGAATCAGATCACATACGTCTAAATATTTAATTAATATTAAAATAAAGCCAATCACTTATTTGGTTATTTATGTATAAAATTTCATGTATCCTATAAGATACTATGCTTCGTAGGTACACCAGAATTATTAATTGTATCCAAAAAGTTACGATGTCCTAATAGTCAAATACTTAAAGTTTTATAAAAATAATAAAAAATTGGATATATTTTAATTATTTTGTTCTAATAGATATTTATTTTTTTATTACAGTAAATAAAATATCCATTTTTTAAATTCGGGTTCATTTTTATCTTATTTTATTATTAAGAAATTTCCTAAAATCAATTTTTCTTGATTAATACAAAATGTAAACAAACTTATACATACAGTTTAAAGAATAATAAACAGACAAATAATATTTTACCACATTATAGAGAATATAATTCGAAAAATTTTTAAAACAAATATATATACTGATGCTTTCCCCATCAATAGCTAATTCTTCAATTTTTATTTTTATAAGATTAAGGTTATTTTGCACTCCATCCATGTATATCTGTGTGGGGCGACAAAGTGGTCTTCTTTCGTTTCTTGGATCAATTATTGTTCTTGAGTCCTGGCTTTCAGATACAATATCCGGTTTATAATGTTGCTACACGAAGAAGTGGTTCGGCTGTTTATTGAATATCCAAACACATCATTGTAAAAATTATTTATTATTACTATATAATTAGAAATAATTATAATTTATATAATACTTACTATTATCAGAGAAAGCAAAACATTTTTAAAAAACGTAAAATACATTTGCACCTACCTACTACAAAAAAGAACTAATAGACATTACTCGATTTTATACTATTTACCTCGGTTGGAGAATTTGGGTAACATGTAGTAAGAAACTGACCAACTCTTACTAAAACGTTTAAAGACGGCAACAAAAGTATAATTTTCCAAACCATTTTTTCGTTTATCTAATATGAAATGTAACATTAAGAAACGACTAGAAAAGTGAAGTCATGCAAATCACAATGCGTGTGAAATTTTCATTAAATAGTACCTATGTTAATACTAAAAAATATACTTTGCTCAATTGCGTATAAGATGCTTATGTTTTAATACACACGCTGTAAATACTGTTTAATAAAAAATAAAGTCTAGTTGAGGGGCAAATAAGCTTATACGGTACAGTATAACTACTCGAAGAATAGTTTAAATAGTTTACAATGGTATAACTCTTCTAAAATTATAAAACACCATTGTGTTTGTATATTATATTAAGTCAACGGTTTTTATATTTAAAAAAAAAAGTTTTATTATGGTTTTTACTCGTATACTATAACAGCAGTCGAATAAGTGGAATTTTTGATGAATTTTATTTTATGAATATAAATGAGAATAAAATTAAATATTCATGACTGTAATGGATTTAATGGAAATCGTTAAAGCAGCATTATTTAAAAAAAACAGCCGTGAAATAAGTCAATATGCATAATATAATATAAATATAAAAATTATTGTCTGTTTTTTTTTTTGTTTGTTTATCCTTTATGCATTAGTACACCATTCATATAATATAAATGAGAACAAAATTAATATTCCAAGACTGTAATTTTTTCCCACGAGGTGTACGTGTAAGCACACAATTCAAAAACAGATATAATGGCGATAATTTTTTTAAAAAAAAATATATATAAATTTATATAACAACCTTGTGCGTTTTTCGCTTATTGCATAAAACCGCTTAAAACTAATTGCCGTTGAATACATAGATATTATTCAATTCTTCGTCTAGTGTTGATATGCACAGAACGTTCTTTTATTATTGGCATTGTAAGCTAACCAATAATTATTGTTACACTTAAGGATCGCGTGTAATATTAACATATTATCGCTTCAATAGAAATGGAATCTAAAGCGTTGATATTACCAACTCCGGACGCGATCAATGAAATGTACAGTGAGTTGGACACGTCCGAGACAAAATTGGACCTCGACGTAGAAATTCTAAAGGAATGGATGCGAAAACAACCTCACCTTCCTAACCCGGACGGTAAAATTGAATTTTTTTTAAAACGTTATCCCTATACTTGGCAGAAATTTAAAAAAAAAATCCAAGCCATGGTTTTTCTACTAACTAAGACCACTAGAATTGTTTTTACTAAATCGTGTATTTGAAGTATTCAATAATCGTATCATTTAAAATACACTACCTATTAGAACTAATAAAATAAAAAAACAATAAAAATATTTAAAATATTTAAAATAGTATTTTATAATAAATTTACGTAGAGTAGGTATTATTCTTTAAACTGTATATATAAGTTTGTTTACATTTTGTATTAATCAAGAAAAATTGTTTTTAGGAAATTTCTTAATAATAAAATAAGATAAAAATGAACCCGAATTTAAAAAATGGATATTTTATTTACTGTACTAAAAAAATTAATATTTATTAGAACAAAATAATTTAAATATATCCAATTTTTTATTATTTTTATAAAACTTTAATTATTTGACTATTAGGACATCGTAACTTTTTGCATACAATTAATAATTCTGGTGTACCTACGAAGCATAGTATCTTTTAGGATACATGAAATTTTATACATAAATAACCAAATAAGTGATTGGCTTTATTTTAATATTAATTAAATATTTAGACGTATGTGATCTGATTCTAAGAGCTGAATCAAATATATTTAGGTTTTAAAATGTAAAAAAATGTGTTAAAAGTCAGTCCAAAAAAAAAAAATTGAAATGATAGCTGATAACATGGTTTTAGAAACAATATTACAAATATAATATATGATATCAATAACCGTAATGGTCTCTCCAAAGAAATATTTCATGTATATTTTTACTGGAATATTTATTTCAAATTTTGGTATCTTTATATAGATACATCGCCAAGTTAAGGGTAAAAATCATGTTTTTTTTTGCATTTAAACATATCTTAATCTCGTAACGATATAGCATTCTTATTACAAAGTTATCGAATAATAATAATATTATTGTTTAGACGGTGAAAAAAAAGTGGATGAATATCGAATCAAAAATATTTTGTTGATGTGCAAGAATAGTTTGGAGAAAACCAAAACAGCACTGGACCAACACTACACTATTAAACGTTTAGTACCCGAGTATTTCTCCAATTGGGATCCCGCTAATCCAGAGTTAACTTCATCAATGGAACAATCGTTAGTATCTAAATGATATGTATGTATTATATTATATTTGCGTCAATTTAAATGGTAATGTTTGTCGTTTTTAATAAACAAAACGGTGATTCTTCACATACGAAATAGGTTAAATCATTGACTTTTAGTTTTGTGACATTTTCATGTCTTAGCTCTGGCACATAACCGAAAAAACTGTTACCAAAAACTTGTCACCAAAAATGGGGCTGGGGGTGGGAATAGGGATGTGGTTGGGGATGGGGTTTGTGATGGGGATGGGGATGTTTAGTTTTTTAAAAAAATTATTCGGTACTTCAACGAGACATGAAAATGCTCTTTCGTGGTTGCAGACTCGTCTGAAATGCTTTTTTTTAAGAACGATCTATAAATTTTAGATAAAACGTCCTTAGGTGTTATGAGTAATTTACTAATATTTGATTAATAAACGTTAACTAATAGATAAATTGTCTTTCAGATGTGTCTTTCCATTTCCAAAACCTACACACGAGGGCTACAGAGTAAGCCTGTATTGTGTAAGGGATGGATATGCCGATTGTAAATATGTATTTAATGATATTGTTAAATTCAGTTTTATGACACTCGATCTCAGAATCGGTAAGTTAGACATGTGTAAAAAAAATATTATCATTGTGGATTATAAAAATTTGACAATGAATCACGTAGCTGCCATGTTACCGAGTATTAAGAAAGTCGTTGCAAGTTATCATGTAAGTACATTTTTTATTCGATCTCTAAGTATTATTTTACACACTAAGGAAACTACAGTGGGGTTTACAAAATATTATGAATAATAAATCTAAAAACAAAGTTACACCTGTACATTTTTTTTTTGAAAACCTGACCATTTTGATAGGTTTTTAGAGAATGTTGACTACTTCTAGAATAAAAACCCCTAACATTAAACCTGGAGGATATATATATATATATATACATATTTGTAAAATTTAGAGGTGTGTATTTGCGAAATTTCAAAATTATATTTAGTAGTTCTACGTTGGGATCTAGATTAGAATAATGTTATAACGGCCACTGTGGTAATCGAAGAAGATGTTTAAATACCAATCAAGTATTAAGTGATAGGTAATCATAAGTGATTTTATCAGTGCTGTATTAGCACACTTTTAAGTTCACCACTTCTCTTACAAAATTTAAAACAGCCCCTAAAAATGTATATACATTTAGTCTGGTTTATTCTTCTTATGATCTCCCTAGTACTACGGCAATCTTCGGTTATCTTACTTCTCAAATATGTGTATTCAATATGCTCCATTCTTTTAAACACAATACGGGTAAGGGTTTTTGACGCAATGCGATATTTAACTTAGCGTTCTGTGTAGTTCACATGTTTTTGCCGTTATTTTCTTTGGAATTGGTACAATTATGCACTTTGTAAAATCTCTTGGTACTTGTCTAGTTTCATGCATTTTTTTGGATCAGTTCATAAATTAGTTTGTTTTAACATTTTAGGCAGGATTTCCATCTCGGGTACATTCAATTCACATAGTTAATACAAACAGTTTCGTACAGCCATTACTAAATATGGTTTTGAGTGCTCTAAAAAAGAAAACTTACGAAAGGGTAAATTATTTGGGTTTTAAAAGTTATTAGGATGCATTTCAATGAAATAATATGTTTTATAGGTGTTTATTCACAAATCGGCCGAAGAACTGAAAACTTACATAGATCCCAGTGTACTTCCACTAAACTACGGAGGAACTTATCCAAAGACGTCTGATGAAATGATAGGTTAGTAGCAATAATTATTATAACAAAAATTAACATTTACTTTAATTTGATTACTCATTAGAAATGGAAGTGTTTACGCACCTAATATTAGCTATTTAATAATATTTTACGGAATGGACAATCCCAAAAAGTTCAAGAAATAAAATAAAAAAGTTGCAATAAATTCGTCTTGGAGAATCCGTTTGTAGTTAGATGAACTAATATTACTATTATTGAAGTTTTTATAAAGAGCCAGTGAGCTTTTGATTTTACAACGGTGTGTTTTCTTGCAACTGAATCTACTTGTTTTTACTACTAGTCTGATTGTTTAATGTAAATACAATTTAAAAATTAGCAACCGTATTAATTTTTGGTGTTTTTAATATATTTTGTTCTGTTAGTATTATATTCAATTTATTGCAAAAAAATTAGTTTTTATAATCTAACTTATATTTATAACAATATTACAAACAACGGTGTTCTATAAATTTGTATACACTACTTTATATTTCTATCTACTATTATTTTATTTTTATATGGTCTTATTGAAAATTGAATACTTTAAATAATTAAAAAAACAAATTATACATGCTGTACAAATTATTATTATTCGACATAAACCAACGTCGCTCTAGGCTTATAAATCTGATTTGTGTTATAAAAGAATATTTGAATTGCAGTTGACTGGAATCACGAAGTGATGAAACACCGAGAATGGTTTCTTATTCAAACATCAATTGTTGCAGATAACAGTAAACGCCCAAAGAATTCCACTAATAACTTGGATAATTTGGAAAAAACAATTATTGGAGGTTCATTTAGGAAATTAGCAGTCGATTAGTAACTAGTGGTGATTCAGTTTTAGTCAATATAAATTAGTTTATAGTACATATTATTATTATTTCTACTATGGTTACACGGAAATTATTTAGTTAGCTAATAGAATAATTGGTGATCGTTTTATAAGTTATTTATCCATGTTGTATTCCAAATTTTTTTAAAAAATGTAGATGTTTGTAATATAACAAATGTTTTATGAAACATACAAAAGTATAGTTTGTGACCTTTTTAGGTTCTTACAAATATTGGTACAAGTCTCCTATTGTCCTGTTGTTTTATAAAGGATTTTTAAACGCACTAATAATCAAGGTTTTGCAACCGAATAGTTTTTTTATTTTTATTCTGGTTTCCAAACTGGTTTTTAAAGGTTAAAGGTACTCATTTGAATTAAATTTTCTTTTTTCAAATTAGTAATGTACGAAAATCAGCGCATGCAATTTTTTTCTTTTTGTGCGCACTTACTATTAAAACTTAAAAAATAAATCATAAGTTGGCAATATTCTTGAAACCACCATACTATCCAAGCATTTGTGTACACAGATTGTTTAGCTATTGTTTTTTCGACTGCTAAATTATTTCAGTGTTTACAAAACAATATGCTGGGTGATTATTTCAACGATCTTTACTAGTATACTCAAAAATTACTTAGATTTTTAAAAACAGAATGTTTAATAGTTTGTTAGTGTATAAAATACTAACTTATTATAAACGACTTTTTTAACTTGACCTAATCTAACCTAACCTTCTAGTAGAACATTTTACTTAGGCACACAGCTTTATACTGTGATAATATTTAATAAACGTTTGAGTGGCTTAAATTTTTCGGATTTTCGCATTCCGAGTAATAATTATTATACATATATGGAGCATTTCTCAATTTTCTCAAGCCTTTATTTTTTTTTGCTATCTTCACCGCTTATCTTGACCTGATCGTGGCCATTATAACATTATTCTAATCTACATCCCAACGCAGGGTTACTAAATATAATTTTGAAATTCCGCTAATGGACATCTCTAAATTTTACATTTATGTATATAAGTATATTTATATATATATATATATATATATATATCCTCCAGGTTTAATCTTAGGTGTTTTTATTCTAGAAGTAGTCAACATTCTCTAAAAACCTATCATAATGGCCATGTTTTCTAAAAAAATTTACAGGTGTAGCGTTGTCTTTAGATTTATTAATCATAGTATTTTGTAAACCCCACTGTAGTTTCCTTAGTGTGTAAAATAATACTTAGAGATCGAATAAAAAATGTACTTACATGATAATTTGCAACGACTTTCTTAATACTCGGTAATACCTCGTGATTCATTGTCAAATTTTTATAATCCAAAATGATAATATTTTTTTTACACATGTTTAACTTACCGATTCTGAGATCGAGTGTCATAAAACTGAATTTAACAATATCATTAAATACATATTTACAATCGGCATATCCATCCCTTACACAATACAAGCTTACTCTGTAGCTCTCGTGTGTAGGTTCTGGAAATGGAAAGACACAACTGAAAGACAATTTATCTATTAGTTAACGTTTATTAATCAAATATTAGTAAATTACTCATAACACCTAAGGACGTTTTACCTAAAGTTTATAGATCGTTCTTAAAAACAAAATCTTTTTCAGACGAAAGAGCATTTTCATGTCTCGTTAAAGTACAAAACAATTTTTTTAAAAAACTAAACCTCCCCATCCCCATCACAACTCCCATAACTAACCCCAACCACATCCCCATCCCACCCCCAACCCCGTTCTTGGTGACAAGTTTTTGAATACAGTTTTTTCGGTTATGTGCCAGAGCTAAGACATGAAAATGTCAAAAACTAAAGTCAATGATTTAACTTATTCCGTATGTGAAGAATCACCGTTTTGTTTATTAAAAACGACAAACATTACCATTTAAATTGACGCAAATATAATATAATACATACATATCATTTAGATACTAACGATTGTTCCATTGATGGAGTTAACTCTGGATTAGTGGGATCCCAATTGGAGAAATACTCGGGTACTAAACGTTTAATAGTGTAGTGTTGGTCCAATGCTGTTTTGGTTTTCTCCAAACTATTCTTGCACATCAACAAAATATTTTTGATTCGATATTCATCCACTTTTTTTTCACCGTCTAAACAATAATATTATTATTATTCGATAAGTTTGTAATAAGAATGCTATATCGTTACGAGATTAATTATGTTTAAATGCAAAAAAAAACATGATTTTTACCCTTAACTTGGCGATGTATCTATATAAAGATACCAAAATTTGAAATAAATATTCCAGTAAAATATACATGAAATATTTCTTTGGAGAGACCATTACGGTTATTGATATCATATATTATACTTGTAATATTGTTTCCAAAACCATGTTATCAGCTATCATTTCAATTTTTTTTTTTTTTTGGACTGACTTTTAACACATTTTTTTACATTTTAAAACCTAAATATAATTCAGCTCTTAGAATCAGATCACATACGTCTAAATATTTAATTAATTTTAAAATAAAGCCAATCACTTATTTAGTTATTTATGTATAAAATTGTATGTATCTTAAAAGATACTATGCTTCGTAAGTACACCAGAATTATTGATTGTATCCAAAAAGTTACGATGTCCTAATAGTCAAATACTTAAAGTTTTATAAATATAATAAAAAATTGGATATATTTTAATTATTTTGTTCTAATAGATATTTATTTTTTTATTACAGTAAATAAAATATCCATTTTTTAAATTCGGGTTCATTTTTATCTTATTTTATTATTAAGAAATTTCCTAAAATCAATTTTTCTTGATTAATACAAAATGTAAACAAACTTATACATATAGTTTAAAGAATAATACCTACTCTACGTAAATTTATTATAAAATACTATTTTAAATATTTTTATTGTTTTTTTATCTTATTAGTTCTAATAGGTAGTGTATTTTAAATGATACGATTATTGAATACGTCAAATACACGATTTAATAAAAATTAATTCTAGTGGTCTTAGTTAGTAGAAAAACCATGGCTTGGATTTTTTTTTTAAATTTCTGCCAAGTATAGGGATAACGTTTTAAAAAAAATTCAATTTTACCGTCCGGGTTAGGAAGGTGAGGTTGTTTTCGCATCCATTCCTTTAGAATTTCTACGTCAAGGTCTAATTTTGTCTCGGACGTGTCCAACTCACTGTACATTTCATTGATCACGTCCGGAGTTGGTAATATCAACGCTTTAGTTTTCATTTATATCGAAGCGATCATATGATAATATTACACGCGATCCTTAAGTGTAACAATAAACACCCAGGCCCCGGGTGTTTATAAGTAGCGATTGGCACTTTCCATGTTTAAATAACTAAATGAATTGCAGGCACCCAAATGGTACATGGATCAAACGGGTTTGTAATATTTATTTTTACCAAAACAGATACAAATATAGCGTTTCACAAAATCCACATTTTGGATTTTGGATACAATCTGTAAAAAATATTTATTTACAATAAGCGCAAGTGATGAATTTGTAAAATAACAAATATATTAAATATCGAGACCGCAGACTTGGACGAAGGAGCTAACATCATTGCGTGTGGATGAGAGATATCTATAATATGAATATTAATTAATTTTATGCGTTTCATTTGCAGAAAAAAATGAAACCTATCTGGTTTTTTATTTTATTTATCTATATTGTAAATGTTTCGGCACATTATCTAGGTATTTATAATGTCTTCACAATTATTAAATTAAGATAGTTAATAAAAATTGGAACAAAGAACAATATTTCAATTTTGTTTACAGCGGAATATAAGAAACAGCTTCTAATTACAAGTCAGTAACATTTTTATTTTATCAAACACAGTTTTCTAAGTTTTTAGAATTCAGTGTTTTCGAACATATTTTTCAATTGTGTACATATTACAGACGTATCCATCATGGAAGCTGGTACAGGTGAGATGTATTTAAAATTTTAATGTTAAGATATAAATGTTTTTTTATGTGTACCTAATTGTCAAGATTTTTGCAAATTTAAAAGTATAGTTTTTATCAATAGTAAAAAGTGCACCAGTGTACAGAAAACTATAATTTTTAAAGTAGGAAGCAATTTCTAATAACCTAATCAAAGGAGTAATGTTGAGTTAAATGGCTACAGCTTAAAACATAATTTGATATAACTATTAAGTACTTAATTCAATTTGTTAGTATAGCCCAAATCATTTTTGTTTTTTTTAGATATATTGCATCGAATAATTGAAGAAATTTTTAATGAAGTCAATCATTGCGACATTTTCGGTAGTCTTAGTTAAAATAATAATAATAAAAAAAGAAGAAAGTATAGAATAATATTTTGAAAATTGCAACTAAATTTTATTATTATGCAATCGATAAGTGATGTAATTATTAAATTCTTCTCAGAAATCTAAATGGATCTTTATGGAAAAAAAACTGATATTGTTGGCTGTGTCAACCTTGGGCGATTATTATGTTTTTTTCTAATTCCCACAACTGTTTCAATTCAGCCATTGTATTCTCATAAAGATTTTATCTAGTCTATTAAAATGGGTTTTTTTCTACTTTGACCTTTAACTTTTAATTTATTATCATACAATGTAATAATTTATATAAGTTAATTAAATCCAATACTATTAATTTGTGTAATGTCAATTTCAGGCAAACTTAATTTTATGATCGCTGTACCAAGTAATTGTAATTAGTAGTAGTAGAATTGTATGAAAATATTGCCAATATTTCATTCCTATTTAATTTTCCAAAGAAATTCCTGTCGGATTGAATATACAGTGGAGCACATTTCTTCCAAGTTACTAATGTAACACACGTTTTTTTCAACCTTGATCTTCATCATTCTGTTTATAATATAAAAGAACATTAAATGCAATATCATTAATTTATGTAATGTTAATTTTAGACAAACTAGATTTTTCCATCTGTATACCGGGTAATAGTTTTTATTTATTTGGTTCCACACAGAAGTTTGATATTCTTTATGCACACAAAATTTTTGTTTTAGATTCAGATTTAAGACCCATTCCAGTTATGGACAGTAACCACATTTTTATATATCATATATTTATTATATTTAACGCATATTTATTATATATAAATACTAGATGTAAAGATGTAATATTTAATGTATGTACATTAAATAATATTTTGTAATACATTTTAGAACTGCTTGATTACCAGGATATTATGGGATGGAAAATAAGACGACATTAAGTAAATATTACATTTTAAACATTTATAATTATACTAGTTTGAGGTTATAAAGAAAAACTATAAAAAAAAATCGATTTAAAGCTTAAAGTCGTAAAGCTATACAATATGATTTATGTTTAAGCCTCTGATAATCATTAGAATTAAAATATAAAAGGGTTTATTAGTACGTTGCTATTAGATATAATTTAACAATTATGGAATAATATTTTGCATAAAGGAATTGCATGCGGTCTGGTTTTAAGGAGTTTTATAAAGGCAAAATTTAAGAAAACTTGGTTTTAATAAACTTTGACAATGACGATTAATATTCCAATTGATTTTTATGTGCTTCAATGTATTATTTTTAATTTTTATAATTTGTATTTTTAATCTTGTAAAGCATTCAAAATATTGTCTGGCTTTTAAGTCTAAAACGCCAAAAAACAGATCGCATACATACCCCTTAATTAGATAGTCTCTCTTATTAATCTCATTTTTAAGAGTGATTGTTTTAAATGTTGAGTATATGTACTGTTAACGGCTGGTCAACAATGTCAGTAAAAACAGCTGATATCATGGCATTATAATTCAAGAGGTTTAATACATATCATTAAAGACAGGGCAAAAAAAAAACTATGTTTCGGTATTTAATGCAAATAAAAAAAAACCAGTACAGTGGGATCGGGGCATAGTTGGGACGGAGCAATTTTTAAATATGAAAGTGATAAAATCACTTTCGAAAAAACGCTTCGATGCAAATCGGTAGTTAGTATTTTCAAGCCAGTACAGTCCAAACCAAGCACAGTATAAACCAGCAAAGTTAGAAAGTTTTAAATGAAGGTTCTGTATTTACAAATGAGCATCAAAGCGTTAATTTGAAAGTGATTTTATCTGAGAGGACTAGTACAGTAGAGTATTGGCATAATGTAATCAAAGCAATGAGGAAACGGAGAGGTCACAGGTCTACAAGAATTATTATAAATAAAAGTGATAAAATTGAATAAAATCGCTTTCAAATAAACGCTTTGATGCTCATTTGTAAATACAGAACCTTCATTTAAAACTTTCTAACTTTGCTGGTTTATACTGTCCTTGGTTTGGACTGTACTGGCTTGAAAATACTAAGTACCGATTTGCATTGAAGCGTCTTTTCGAAAGTGATTTTATCACTTTCAGATTTAAAAATTCCTGTAAACCTGTGGCCTCCCCGTCACCACTATGCCCCGACCCAACTATGCTCCATCCCCACTGTGCCCCGACCCCACTGTACTGGTTTTTTTTTTTTTTGCAAAAACGTAGTGGACCAAATAACACGTGTACAATGTCTTGTTATATTTTGTTGAAATGGTCGACGATTCATGTTTCAATCGTTTGTACTCCATAGTTTAAATTATAATCGCTTATTCTCAATCAAATTAATATTTATGTATTATATACTTCCTTTAGAGCAATCTCACACAAACTATTTATACGTCATAGATTACATTATTTTAAAGCTATATTATACTTCTATTTTACTAGAATGACAATGTACAAAATAAAATTCAACTAAAAAAACCTTTTCATAAATCCTTAAAATGTAAAGGGTGGGATAGTGAAACGGGTTCTTCCATTAAATACATTAGAAAACCGTCGTTTACTGCTTTATCCTGTATATTAATTTCTTGTTATTTTCTAAAAAAAAATCGATTTTCTTACATTTAAATTAAAATAAATCGTATACTGGTACTATAATGAAGAAAACAATACATTTTACCTACATATATTACTTATTAGTTAAATATTACTAACGTGTATAGCCACTAGCGGTCGGCTGTTGCCTGTTATTTAACAATAACCTTTTATGGAGATTTTAAAAATTGTGTTTTTTTAATAATAGCATAGGAGCAGTATCATGATGCTAAATGTTCACGAGATTTGATCTAGTCATAATATAAAGTACTATCATTCATGACTTTTAAATACTATTCAAATATATCTCAATATGAATCTGAATCCAAAAAACAACAGTCCTCTTCATAATTTGCAGGTAGTTGGATCTTATATACTCATAGTTGACCTTCGGTAAGGTTATATAACGCAGGTACTCGTACGGTTTTTTTTTGGTTTTTTCAAATTTCTTCTGTGAAGAATTAAACTTTTTCGACTTTTACCCCCCCCCCCCAGCTAAAAAAAAAACCCGCATCAGAGTAAAACCAATACCTTCTCGCTTTGCATCGAAGCTAAAATGTCTTTAAACACAAGTTTTAGTATATATTTATGATAATAAAAAAGCTATATTGATAGTCAATATCAGTCCAAAACGTAAAAACATTGTTAGGAATCAAACTAAATATGCTCTACTATAATTATTTAGTACCATTGTCAAAGTTTTTATTTTTTTTTTAATTTTATATTACACTAATAGCTGTTAATTAATATAATGTATATCATAATAAAAAGTTTTATTCAAAATTATACTCACATCTGTTGCTTATGTGTAGATTTAAATAGACAATTAATATTTTAATATATACTATTTACCTCGGTTGGAGAATTTGGGTAACATGTAGTAAGAAAATGACCAACTCTTACTAATACGTTAAAAGACGGCAACGAAAGTATAATTTTCCAAATCATTTTTTCGTTTATCTAATATGAAATGTAACATTAAGAAACGACTAGAAAAGTGAAGTCAGGCAAATCACAAAAACCAAAAACAAAAAATTTATAAATAAAACAACTTTGTGCGTTGTTCTCTTATTGCATAAAACCGCTTAAAACTAATTGCCGTTGAATACATAGATATTATTCAATTCTTCGTCTAGTGTTGATATGCACAGAACGTTCTTTTATTATTGGCATTATAAGCTAACCAATAATTATTGTTACACTTAAGGATCGCGTGTAATATTATCATATTATCGCTTCGATAGAAATGGAATCTAAAGCGTTAATATTACCAACTCCGGACGCGATCAATGAAATGTACAGTGAGTTGGACACGTCCGAGACAAAATTGGACCTCGACGTAGAAATTCTAAAGGAATGGATGCGAAAACAACCTCACCTTCCTAACCCGGACGGTAAAATTGAATTTTTTTAAAACGTTATCCCTATACTTGGCAGAAATTTAAAAAAAAAATCCAAGCCATGGTTTTTCTACTAACTAAGACCACTAGAATTGTTTTTACTAAATCGTGTATTTGAAGTATTCAATAATCGTATGATTTAAAATACACTACCTATTAGAACTAATAAAATAAAAAAACAATAAAAATATTTAAAATAGTATTTTATAATAAATTTACGTAGAGTAGGTATTATTCTTTAAACTGTATATATAAGTTTGTTTACATTTTGTATTAATCAAGAAAAATTGTTTTTAGGAAATTTCTTAATAATAAAATAAGATAGAAATGAACCCGAATTTAAAAAATGGATATTTTGCTTACTGTAATAAAAAAATAAATATCTATTTGAACAAAATAATTAAAATATATCCAATTTTTTATTATTTTTATAAAACTTTAAGTATTTGACTATAAGGACATCGTAACTTTTTGGATACAATCAATAATTCTGGTGTACCTACGAAGCATAGTATCTTTTAAGATACATACAATTTTATACATAAATAACTAAATAAGTGATTGTCTTTATTTTAATATTAATTAAATATTTAGACGTATGTGATCTGATTCTAAGAGCTGAATTAAATATATTTAGGTTTTAAAATGTAAAAAAATGTGTTAAAAGTCAGTCCAAAAAAAAAAAATTGAAATGATAGCTGATAACATGGTTTTAGAAACAATATTACAAATATAATATATGATATCAATAACCGTAATGGTCTCTCCAAAGAATTATTTCATGTATATTTTTACTGGAATATTTATTTCAAATTTTGGTATCTTTATATAGATACATCGCCAAGTTAAGGGTAAAAATCATGTTTTTTTTTTTGCATTTAAACATAATTAATCTCGTAACGATATAGCATTCTTATTACAAAGTTATCGAATAATAATAATATTATTGTTTAGACGGTGAAAAAAAAGTGGATGAATATCGAATCAAAAATATTTTGTTGATGTGCAAGAATAGTTTGGAGAAAACCAAAACAGCACTGGACCAACACTACACTATTAAACGTTTAGTACCCGAGTATTTCTCCAATTGGGATCCCACTAATCCAGAGTTAACTCCATCAATGGAACAATCGTTAGTATCTAAATGATATGTATGTATTATATTATACTTGCGTCAGTTTAAATGGTAATGTTTGTCGTTTTTAATAAACAAAAAGGTGATTCTTCACATACGCAATAGGTTAAATCATTGACTTTAGTTTTTGACATTTTCATGTCTTAGCTCTGGCACATAACCGAAAAAACTGTAATCAAAAACTTGTCACTAAGAATGGGGTTGGGGTAGGATGGGGATGTGGTTGGGGGTGGGGTTGGTTATGGGGGTTGTGATGGGGATGGGGAGGTTTAGTTTTTTAAAAAACTTGTTTTGTACTTTAACGAGACATGAAAATGCTCATTCGTCTGAAAAATGATTTTGTTTTTAAGAACGATCTATAAATTTTAGATAAAACGTCCTTAAGTGTTATGAGTAATTTACTAATATTTGATTAATAAACGTTAACTTATAGATAAATTGTCTTTCAGATGTGTCTTTCCATTTCCAAAACCTACACACGAGGGCTACAGAGTAAGCCTGTATTGTGTAAGGGATGGATATGCCGATTGTAAATATGTATTTAATGATATTGTTAAATTAAGTTTTATGACGCTCGACCTCAGAATCGGTAAGTTAGACATGTGTAAAAAAAGTATTATCATTTTGGATTATAAAAATTTGACAATGAGTCACGTAGCTGCCATGTTACCGAGTGTTAAGAAAGTCGCTGCAAGTTATCATGTAAGTGCATTTTTTATTCGATCTCTAAGTATTATTTTACACACCAAGGAAACTACAGTGGGGTTTACAAAATATTATAAATAATAAATCTAAAAACAAAGTTACACCTGTACATTTTTTTTTAAAACATGACCATTTTGATAGGTTTTTAGAGAATGTTGTCTACTTCTAGAATAAAAACCCCTAACATTAAACCTGGAGGATATATATATATATATATATACATATTTGTAAAATTTTGAGGTGTGTATTTGCGAAATTTCAAAATTATATTAAGTAATTCTGCGTTGGGATGTAGACTAGAATAATGTTATAATGGCCATTGTGGTAATCGAATAAGATGTTTAAATACCAATAAAGTATTAAGTGATAGGTAATCATAAGTGATTTTATCAGTGCTGTATTAGCACACTTTTAAAACAGCTC